AAAGGAAGAAAATGCTGTGTAAAGGTGCAATTATGGATATCCTTGGTGGTGTGGATATCTTCTCACCTAGAAAACTTGATCCACCCTTCACAGGTGTCTATCTGCAAGGACACAATGCACAGAGATATTTGCCAAAGCTCAGTGGAAGATGACAAAGAAGCAAGTGAAGGAGATAGATACACAGATCTCAAGAAAGAACACTAATAAATTTGGACAYGATGAGTTATGGTCAGTGGCACTGCATTGGCATAAATGACTAAGAATGGAGAGCTAATGAGAGTAGAGAGCAAATGAGAAGGGATATAGGATGAGGAATGGGTATGGGAGAAGAGACAGAAAGTAGCGCAGGAAAGGTTAAAAAAATGAGGGTTGGAAAGAGTATTACTAAGTGTAGTGGCAATTGAGAAGAATAAAATATGTGTCTAAGGATGGTCTCATTCCTTTTCATAAGACTTAAGGGAAAGTAATTTAATATCCTGCTAATGAATAGGCTTAGTAGCTCTCTGAGGTAAAGAGGTTTGGAAGGAGAATATCACTTGGGAGGGAAGAGACCCTGTTGGCCTTCAGAACAAAAGAGTGTATAGTCCAGGAGTATATGCTCCGAACAAGCTGTCTTCAAAGTGCAAAGTTGTCTGACATCTAGGTGCATGACTCGATGTGCCCTGGAATGTCAGACAATATCTTACTACTTACTGTAGAGCAAGTGTACTGAAAGAGGAACCTACAGCTTCTTATTCTTGTTCTGAAGCGGGAAAGCCTTCACKGATACGGAGCTGATGTTGCAGCAGGCAAACAAACCCAACGCAATAAGACAGCTTCATTAGCAGCCCCTTGGAAGGGTATGCAATGTTTGGTGTTTTTCAGGGCCAGAGAAAAGAGAAAGCAGAAGTGAAAACATGGAAACAAGTGTTTGTTGAAGTTTGRGAGATGCTGGCTGTACTAGGGAGTTTAAATGAAATCTGCAGGAGGGAGAGAAGATCAAATTCAAGAAAAAGTAGCTACCAGGGAGGTCTGAAGACAAATGAAATAAGGACATATCTGTGTGCTTTTCAACAATGCCTGGTCTTAAGTTTCTTAGATGCTTCAACGTTAGATTTTTTTTCAGAATAAGATGACAAGTCAGGAAGAAAGAGAGACAACAGTGTCTTGGAGATGCCAGTGCAAAAAAATTAGTACAACATATTGTACTAAACTGCTAAAGAGTGTGTCTACAAATGACAGGTGCAGGAAGGGCACAGGACTTTGAGAGAAATGTGAAGCACTATAATAATGTGAAGCCATGCCTTATACATTAAGGATAGCTTCTATCTAACTTTCTAACTAACTAACAAAACTTCTAACTTCCAAATAGGGGGAAAAAAAAAAGACAAGGATCCATACTGTGTCACTTACATCCACTTATATCAATCATTATTTTGTTTTAAAATCTAGATAATGTCTAATGCTAGAAGTCCATGGAGAAAAAGCAAGCATGTGATTATATTTTAATGACTACTTTGGGTATATGGACAGGTAGGTACCTTAATACTGGGACTTTGTGTGTTTTGGGTGACATTTTATAACTTCARTAGTCTTTAGGAAATTTCTGTGAATAAGAAGTAACAATTGCCACACGTTTGTTTTGTAGACTRTTATGAAACACTTCACCTCTTTCTTCATATGTGTTAATTACTACCTGTTTACTGCAAATTAGTTTGGCAATACTGATCTACATCTTGTAAATGACCTGCTCGTTTACTGATGATGTCTTTGTTTCTMTTCTAGAGAAGTGCAGCACTGACTCACATTCTCCCAAAAATAATTTGAATGTTGATTTCAAAATTTTCATTTTGAGAAAGCTGTGCCTAATATTGTTTTGATGGATACAACAGATGCTACTTTGAAAGGTAATTCAAGGTAACTGATACATATTTTATAAAGCTGTAACAAAATCTGCCTACTGTTTCAGGTATTTAAGGATATTCTGTATAACAATTTCATCCTATTTTTAAGACCATCACCCATCCTATTACTTGTTATACTTGATCCACTATGGCATTAGCTAAATCTCCATTATGAATTGCCAAAAATCTGGTGTTTTTTTCTCTGCTGTTTCTAATTGCTTATCTCACCCCCTGAATTAAAAAAAAAATGAAAAATCCAGGTTATTCCAATTATTCCAATACACAATATGCCTCATTTGCACATCAGAGCACTTGTTTGTGAATCATGAATAAGAAAATAATCTATTTCAAAATTTAAAATAAAAGACTATTATGTTTAGTTAATAAACTATTATGTTTAGTTAATAAAAGCATTTTCTTCACATGACTTTTGTTATGTGAAGTAATACACACATAACCTTACAGTCACATTACCTTATAGTAATTTGACAAACCTTGACTCATATACACTTGTTTGCTGGTGTATCAGCAACCTCCCATCAGTTACCTACACCAGAGTCTTCTCCAGGCTGAGAAGTCCCAGCTCTCTCASTCTCTCCTCATGTGAGGGGTGCCCCAGGTCCTTCATCACTGTCACGGCCCTTCACTGGTCTCTCTCCAGTAACTCATGTCCGTCTTGTGCTGGGCACAGCACTCCGTATACTCTGTCCAGCAYTGGACACAGCGCTCCGCATACTCCATATATGGTCTCACCAAGGTTGTGCAGAGGGAAGAATCAAGCCCCTCAACCTGCTGCCAATACTCTCAATGCAGCCAGGATCCCATTGGGCTTCTTGGCCACGAGGGCACACTGCTSMCTCATGGTTAACWTGGTGTCCACCAGGACTCCCAGGTCCCTCTCCGTGGAGCTGCTCTCCRGCAGGTYGACCCCTAATCTGTCCTGATATCTGGGGTTATTCYTCCCCAGGTGCAGGACCCTGCACTTGTCCTTRTTGAACCTCATGAGGTTCCTCTCTGCCCAACTCTCCAGCCTKTCCAGGTCCCTCTGAATGGCAGCACAGCCCTCTGGAGTGTYGGCCACTCTAACCAGCTTGGTATCATCTGCAAACTTGTTCTGTCCCTTCATCTAGATCCTTGATGAACAGATTAAAAAGTCTCAACCTCTGGATTATACCACTAGTGTCCAGAAGCTCAGCAGTCTTTTTGTGTGTGGTAAGGACTAAATTCTCACAAATAGCTTTTGCAAACTTGAGCTATCCTCCACAGGACTGACTTCTATTTAACAATTTATTTCCCTGAAATTACAGAGACGAAAAGAAACATTCCCATATCTTTTTTCAAGATATACACAAAGCATTTGAGGAAGATATTAATTTATTCGTTTCCTATCGATCTTGATCACTACTGATCCACTGATTGGTAGAGAGAGCATCAGAAAACAATTTTAGCAGTTGCCTCATATTATTTCTTTGCTTTAAAGGGCTCCTATTCATTTGCCTGGTTATCTCAAACTCTTCTCGGTGGTGGTCAGTGATAGGACAAGGGGCAGTGGGTATAAATTGAAACACAGGCAGTTCCRTCTCCATGTGAGGAGGAACTTCCTTCCTGTAAAGGTGCCAGAGCCCTGGCACAGGCTGCCCAGGGAGGCTGTGGAGTCTCCTTCTCTGGAGATCTTCCAAACCCGCCTGGATGCCGCCCTGTGTCCCRTGCTCTGGGTGTCCCTGCTGGAGCAGGGGGGGTGACCAGATGATCTCTAGAGGTCCCTTCCAACCTTAACCATGCTGTGAGTCTGTGATCTCATGGGTTTTTGTGTACTACTTCCATAAATGCCAGACAAGTCTAAGACTAAGAAAGAGCAAATCACTCTGCACTTGTGCTGCATCTGTTTGGTAGCATTCCAGTGGCAACAGATCCATGCTTCTTCAGATGGGAGGAATATTGGATTTAGACACTGACATTAAAAAGTTTGCATCTGGTTCCAGGAATAGATGGGACATCCTAGCTCTTGTTGAAAAGCATTTGTTTATATATATATAAATAAAATTTCATATCAGATTAAATGTAGTTATCTGTACTAATTAGACTTTTCTCATAATTCTCCTGCCATTTCAGTATGCTCTTGGAACCGCAGCTGAGGGGAAGGTTCTAGTCTTGCATATTGAAAGGAAAACTTTAAAACGTCATGGGCAAAGGTAGAAGTCTGATAGTGAGGTATAATGTGCCTGCCAAGTTTCTATAATGACAATTTACATGTTATTTGGGCGATTTGTTTCTAACTCATAATAACTGATTTTGAGAYAGGGGACTACTGACTTCTTAAAGACTAGGGAATAGTCTTGCTGAAGGGAATAGCTGAAGTCTTGGTATAATTATGCACCAGTAGATATGTAAAATATAGTTTTGATCCATATACACAGAAAATAAAAAGAATTGGTCAGGGACACTACTTTTTTTTTTTTTTGGGGGGGGGGTGCATGATTTTAAAGGGAGCTGCTGTATACACAGCATATAGACAGCTATATCCCCTCTTCTGTTTCTAAAAAGACAAAATCAAAAAAATAGTTTCTAGATATTGTCCCCAGACATATTTTATATTTGATTGACATTCCATTCCTTCTTCCCTGATTCATAATACTTTWAAAAACAAACCTATATCAGGACTTTGTCCTTCTTCTTCTTTTTACTTGTATTTCTCTGCTTTTTCCTGAACGGGGGCAGGTTGAGGAAGTCCAAGTTGTTTCTTACTCAGTTCAACCCAAGAAACTGAATATATCACTAAAACATACAATCCAGTATGACATACATTTGATCCATGCATTTTAGCAGGTTAAACTGTGTGTGTGTGTGTTGTGTGAGAGATACAAAGAAAAGACTCTATTGTTTAATACACCTCAGGGAATCATACTAATAGGCCTTATAATAATATCAATGAACATGTAGCCACACGCTAACATACAAGAACTGACAGAACATAGCTGTTTGTTTATGGCATTTTAATACCAAGTGAATGCATTTCTCATGTAAGAATTTATAAATCTGGTAACTTATAGGAAAACAAACAAACAAAAAAATCACAGTACTCACAAAAGCTACTTTTCAGCAGTTCTCCCCACACACAGTTTACAGTTAATTTAAACTATGTTGGTAGAAAGATTACAGTGGTGTCATACTCTTAAAAACTTGAAACAGCATTTGAAAATAAAATTATGGTATTTACTCAGTGAAAAGGTAATAGGAATTGTGTTTCTCAGTAAAAGATACATCAGAAAAAGCAGCAAAAAATCTCCCCTCCTGAATAATACACACTACTTTTTTTTCCCCCTTGCCACATACGCTGCTGGCAAGGGCACCACTCCAGCATTAATCATTCCCAGCTTCACACCTTCAGTATTTTTGGCAAGAAGACATACTCAGAGTGCAGTCTGAGGTGTGGGCTGCTGTGCGCTCCAAAGGCTGCTGTTATGCCTGTTCCTTGGTGTAAGGAGGGATCCTCAACAGCTCAGAGGAAACATGAGGAATACACATATTTTTCTGCAGATTCGTGTTCACTTTTCACTCTTTTGTTGTMTCTCCACACAAACTGGAAAAGCCACAAGTTTCAGCTGCACCTCACATTCATGTGTTTATAGGAGTTGTGGGATAAGAACCGTGGTGTTACATTTTCACCTGTGCATAAAAATCCCTTTAGCGGAACTGAAGGGATTGTGTACATGCAACCACAGGAGGAAAACATTCCTTCTCTAACTTCTTAATTAAAAGTCACATTTTCTAAGGTCATTGCACATAGTCATAAAAAGGCAATTAATATGCATTTGATATTAAATATATTGTACGGACCTGAATTTTTGTGCAATCCATTGCTTCAGACACATTTATTTAACATTTCTTTTAAAACTAAGCCTCTATTTACAGTTGAATGAAGAAAAACTTTGCCGAAGAATAACTTCGTTTTCATAAGACAAGAATCTTTAAGAACACTCACAAAAAGGAGAAAAAAAAAACCAAAATAAAAAACACTCCCTTTGACTCCTAGTGCATTTAACCACATCTTTGTAAATTGTTTTCAAAGTCATTGTTCCCACAGATAACCTCAGTATCATTCTACAGCGTGACATGATCCAAGACCACATTTCCCGACCTGTTCGGCAAGGCTGGCATTTCTCATGCTGTTGACAGCAACAGGGAAGCTGAAGTCGAAGTTATTGCCTCATTTCTTTACCTACGGAGGATCTGAAGCTTCAGAGTGGTCACAAGTCAGTTTTCAAGTAGGTTGCCTCTGCTTCCAGCTCCAGTTTCAGGTGCCAAGTGCTTACAGCTCCCAGCCAGGATTTTGGGTTCACCCAGCATACTTTTGGACAACTTCCTGTTGAAACTAGACATGGAAACTGAAAGGGAGATTTTGGTCCCTGAGATGTGCTAAGTGAGATCAAGAACTAGAGCAYTGATATTTAATAGGGAGTGGACCCTCTTCAACAAAACTAATTTAGCTCCAAATTTTGGAAGTTTAACACATAATTGGCAAGACATCCTTAAGCAAGATGACAAAGCATATGCAGTATTGGTCAAGAAAAGTATTTTGATCGGAGAAATTTTAAGAGTTACCAGCTACACAGGACTAAGAAGCTCTCCTTTGAGTTGCAAGCTGCAGCAAATTTGTATTTCAAAACAAACAGAAACAGGCAAAAATATGAAATATAGCCTTAATGGAAACATCTATTTCTCCTACCTTTTTAAAGATACAGGTACAGGTCTTAGTGTCTTAAATACTTACTAGGCAAACTGGCTACATACGCTGGAAGCTAAACCAAACTTCCATTTAACTTTGTGATCAGTCATTTTGATAGTACTCTGCTGACTATACCTGCAGCCTTTGCATTGCCAAACCAGTGGCATGTGCTACCACAGAGACATTCGGAGCTACTGTGTGAAAGGTTTGTACCATCAAAGGGGTCTCAGACCAATGGCCACTAAAATAACATCTTTGGCAACCACAGAAATATGACAGGCAATCCATAGCAGCTGGAAGAAACGTTGCAAGATGTCTACACAGTTCTACAGTGCATCATTGTAACTTTCCGCAGTGCATTTGCTAAAGTACCAAAACCCTGGAAAGGATAGAAAAACATCTGATATTATCCTAGAGGGTTTTTAAGCGTCGATTTTCTTGAACAAAGCTCAAGCTTCTGAAATTTCCCGATTTCAGGCTGTGATTGGGTATGGCGGGAGGCAGCGAGCGCAGAGGCTCCGGCGGCGCCGGCGCAGGGAGCGGGGCCACGTCCTCGGCGGCGCCCCGACGGGCACGGGCACGGGACGGTGGCCAAGGCCGGGCAACAGGCGGGCTCGTACATGGATTTAGTCACACAAACTGTACAATCACACTGGTGCTGGAATCTCTTCACACACAAAACAAACAAACAAAGTCAGCTGCGTCCAGGCAATCCGTTAAGTGCTCTCATTTATCTGTACCTTAAACGGGAAAGAATGTGTATTAGTGGCAAAGAAATTACCCAAAAACATTTACTCTATAATACAGCTGAGCTATAGGAGGAGTCCAGTATAGCCATCCCTTGTTTCCAATGATGCTAGAGGTGCTAAGTGTGTAGGATGGGCACACAGCAGGAGAGAGGAGACCACACTGATTCAAATGGGTAAACTTTTAACAAGCAGAAGGACTGAGGGAGGATATTCCAAGCCTAATATTTTCTGAATATGGAAAATACTGCCACTAACTCAAAGAACTGCAACGGTGCTCCTGATACATAAATCAGTTTGCAATTTGGCAGCAACTATCACAATYCGAAAGACTAAAAAGCAAAAACTGGATCACAGAAAAAACAAAGCAGTAAGAGTGTTTAAGTAAGAGAAATACACCAACACTACCAGCATTGACAGCTTCTTCTGTGGGGATAAAAGCAAAGGACTTGAGGTCCTATATATAACTAATTCTGTTTTTATAACTCGCTTGAGCAAATGTAAGCACACAAAGGCACTTCTTTAAATTTGAACCTAATAGAATAATATAAATTTTCAGTCAACCCCTCCCTCTGTACCATCAAAAAGTTTATCTATGCACTAGCTTGTAATCTTGCAGGTATCTAGTTCCCAAATGCATTTGAAAGACTGGGGAAAAAAAAAAAAAAAAAGAGGTGCTTCTCAACATTAAAAAAAAGAAAGATCATAAAGTGCAAATAACGGATCGGCTTTCGGCTTTTGCTTTTGATCAGTTCATGAAAGGACATCATGAAAAGCAGCGCTGTTCTTCATATTTGCTCATCAAGTGTTGCATGCAAAAGCAGTTAGTTCAGCCGTTCCCTTTATTGTTTTTTGCAACATTAGTGGTCTGTTCTGCACAGCAGGTTTTTCCCTTGCACTTCTGCAGTCGTAAAATCCCAGCCCTGCCCTAGGCGGCCGTGTTTAACGGCAGCACCGCTGCCCTGCAAGACTTACTGCTGCGTCAGCACACGAGGGACCGATTCAGCTCAGAGCGGGCTCAACTCTCAAACTTTCTAGGCCGATGACTGCGTTGGAGTTCCAGTGTTTCATTAAAAGATAAAACGTAACAAATTCATTAATGAAGTTCCAGTAGGTTAGAAGGAAAGCCTGGTCAGCTAATTCTGTCTTTTAAAAGCCAAGGCAGATTTATCAGAACAAAGGTCTAGAGGGGGAGCCGTGGAGTTCCCATCAGCAACACAAGCTCTGTATCGCRTTCCAACACACAGCTGAGCAAAACTGCATCTTCTCCCCTTCCCAATTGCACCATGTAAGTTACAGACTACACACACTAACCCCCTTAATAGTTATTGCTATTGGAAAACGAGAGGAAATTAGGTCTTGAAGACCACAGTGAATTGAATGTGTTCCCTTTATGGGAAGGAAAAGCACTGGCACGCTCAGGAAAAGGAAACAAAGTCTGTTTTTGTGGGTTCCAACAGCACAGGTTTGGATATATGTGCAGGTTACTGATTAGTTGTTTTTAAAAAGCAGTAAACTGAAAGTTTAAGGTGCTTCTCTGTCCACTTAATATTGCTTTTGATATTATTGTAGCTAGCCACCATGTGGTCAAGAAACCTTGACCCACAATTAACATTCAAGTTGCTTAGTTCAGCTTGTTAAAAATTTACCCACTTATTCACAGTTGGTTTTCGTATGTTCCTCATATTCAAGACTGTTCTCATTTACAGATGCATCCCAGGGTTAGTAAATCAATGCCAACCCATTCATTCAGTTTTATTTTTACTGAGCAAAGCATTTGATTAGTTTGATTTTAGTTCTCCTATAGGCTCAGACGGTCTCTTCATGCAAGGAAAAATACAGTTAAACAGTAAATTCAGGTTGAATGACTAAACCCCAAATACAAACACATCACCATAGGAGCATGCTAGAGTGGCCCACCCCCAAAAAACAACCACATCCAAAGAACCCACTAAGAAATAATATGCTATAAAACATCTTCCTTGGATTTAAATTATAAAAACACAAAAACTACAAACAAATGACATCAMCATATAAAATTATTTTGCTTACCATATAAATATGTTAGTAAAATGTCTCATTTCTGGCAGAAGTAACTAATACTAGAATAAGAACTTCTTTTTACAATAAAATATAAGTTAAAGATGCATCTTCGTTGCATATGCACACAGTCCCTCTCCCTTAAGCCTTATAGGGAGTTTAATCAATAGGCTTATCAGGGTTTCCTCTCTTTATACAAAGGGAAAATGACTTATCAATTAAGAACAAAGTATGAAGAGAGTATTCGACAGATTTAGTGGAAGAAGCTTTCTGTCCATACAGTACTTCCAAGGTGACCAGAAAGAAAGGGGCCTTTCAGGAAGCCTTTCCAGAACGGAAGAGAAGCCTTCTTATTATAGTTAAGTCAAATCCTCAAAATGATTTTTAATTTTATGAGAACTACAAGACAAAGGATGGAACTTCATGCTAAGTGCAACTCCGCCATATTGCTCCAATCTATTTCCTATTTCCTTTCCATAACCTATTACAACCTGCAGCAGCTTGATGAAGGGAAAGGAGTTCAAGGTTTCAAGCATATCTAACAGGAAATTCACGGCATATGATGATGAATTCCAGCTGGTCTTCAGTTGGTTTCTTTTAATACCATGTATCTAATACACAACCTTATAATAGTCGTGTGCATGAGCAACAAAAATCACAGTCATTTTTGCTGAAAATGAACAGACATAAGACAAAAACAAGAACACTTAAACTASTGCAGACAGCTTTTAAAATGATCTAATTCAAATAACAACTAACCTGAGACGTACTTTGCTCCGATTAACATTATCATGCTACTCATTATAAAAAAACCCAAAGGCAGACTACAGAAGATACTAGTGTCACCTGATGTCATCCAGGGGGAGGTGTTTCCAGTCAAGCAAATCAAAAGAGAAATATATATAAATTGCAATATATGTGTAAAGAATCATATGAACAGCAAAAGTAACAAATGCAGTGACATTTGCAGGAAAGATAAAAAAGTTTGCTCATGACCCCCCATAATAATTTGAAACAGAATTTCATGATGAGAGCTTAAGTTCAAATTCCACTGTCAGAACTWTGTAGGATAAGGCTATATCTAGAATTCTTCAATCTTAAATGCTCCTAACAGGCAGGAAAAAAAAAGTTTCAAATTGAGAAGAGGACAAATATCTACTTTTTTTTCCTACACAGGTAAATCAGGTAATCACTGAAGGTAGATTTGATGAACCTYCCTTTTTCACATTAGCTGAAGAGCTAATTTTATTTTCTGTAGGTTAGATTTTTTTATACTTCAAAAGGAAACAAAAAATATGATGCATATCAACATGTAATTTTAGGAAACATAGTACAAAGTTAAGATATAAGGCTACAAAACAATAATGGACCATGCTGAAATGAACTTATTACTTGTGCTGCCGCACAAACAATTCTCCCAATCCTGTCCCAAAGGCAAATGGTATAAGCATAGTGTTACGTGGCTAAAAATTAGTTACATATATGAATGTATAGGATCATAGAAGGAAAATTTTAGCTTTATCTTTCAGTAATAAAGCTAGATGCTTCATGCAGCTGTAACTGGGGCTTCTGGGAAGAGTTTACATTTTGAAGACAGTTTAAAACTTCACATTTCTCATTTTAGTAGCTTGTTTAGCTTCAGTGAAAGAAAAATTAAGTGATGACTGCATCTACAAAGTAGTTCGATTCAGGATTGAAAACCTATCCTGAAATGCTGCAGAAATATAAACTCAATGATAGAAGCCTACAGCTTTCATTCGAACCTGACAGGCCAGAGCCTTCTATTTCTAAAGAAGGACCCTGTTTAGTCCCTCATAAATGTTTGTGTATTTTCTGTATTTGGGCAATAGGTCTGTGCAAGTCTGTGTTTTCACAGGATGGTTGAGGTTGGAAGGGACCTCTAGAGATCATCCAGTCCAAGCCCCCAGCTCAAGCAGGGACACCCAGAGCACGGGGCACAGGGTGGCAGCCAGAAGGGCTTTGAAGATCTCCAGAGAAGGAGACTCCACAGCCTCCCTGATTTTATGATAACTTCTTGCTCTCAATTTTTGTGGGTCAGATTGAGATGGTTATCTATCCCATACTGTATAGATGGTTATCTATACAGYATATAGTAAAGCAAGATACAGCAAGAAAAAAAATACAGAATAAAATTTTTCTCCTTTGCAACATAAGGGTGTAATACAGCAAAGCTTAAGAAATCATTGTACGGTCTCAGCATTAAGCTGAATCTATTATTTTAGGGAGGATTTAAGCCATGCAATCCTGCAAAACCTGCAGCTTAGTKCTGATTAATATCCTCTTTTTAGAAGCCCACAAAAAGTTGCTTTGTCCTTTCAAGAGTCAAAGCCCATCTATTGCCTTGTGCTTTTTTCCACAACACTTAAGTAATAGATTTCAAATTAACTGAATAGAGCAGCGACAGTATGAACAGAAAAGGTCATGAATCTCAAGAGGAATCACCTGAGCTACCTGGCAAATTAGCAATACTCAGCCTGCAATAATCATTGGTTTACCATTTGAAGGAGCTTCAGATGTCTCCCAGCCCATAGATTTCATCACAGCTTTTTTCCATCTGGCATAGCGACATTCACTTTCTGAAATTGAGAAATCAGTAAATGGAATTTATAAGCCTATGAATTTATAGGAATACCACTACAAATATTTAAGAAGCAGAGACTGTAGTCTTGGCTTTCCACACCTTTTCACAGTATAGTCTCTCTGCACAAAGGCAGACAAGCAAAAAAGGAAATTTTAAACAACTTGGTGCCTGTTCACCACTAAACATATTTACAAGCAGGAAGAAATGAAGCATTGTTATTCATGTAGAAGTCCTCCAATGTTGAAAACAATGATTTGAAGTACGGGTTACAGCAGGAATGAGAATCAAAGTGGGGATAAAACAAGAACTTGTGCAAAAAGTTAAAGAAAGAGACAAAAAATGCATTTGCCATGCATATGCAATAATTATGTCAACAACATGCTTTCCTGTATATTGCTGTGTATCAGAATGCAACAAAGAAAAACTTTGATCTACTCTACATAAAATTTAGRCTTTTAAGTTCTGAGAGGTTTTTACCCTCTGGGTTGATCTGAGGTTCGAATCTTTCACAGGTCACTGCTGTCAAATCTCCAGGATTCAGACTCCAAATTCCGACTCCTTCTGCAGCTCCTGCTGCCATAGCAGCTCCTAGAGCTGTTGTTTCAGGCATCGATGGCTTTACTGGAGTAAATCAGAGAGAAGGCATGACAATTTTTCATGACAGTCAATGAGTGATTCATATTTTATATAACTATACTGTGTAAGGTTCCCTCAGATTTATCACCAGCATATCTCATTTTACCATTTATCAATATATCCATTTTTTAAAAATTTTATTACCATTTATCAATATATCATAATATCCTGATGTTACTCAGTGACATACTGCATCCCTAAGAATGCTAAAGCATAACTCACTTTTTTCAACAATTTTTAGTTATCTGTCAGACATATTAAAATCTATCTTGATAAAGATGTATGCTTTTCACTGATACTGAAATACTCTAATCACACTTTTCAAATGAAGTCTCCAAAAAGTCCTGCACACTGTGTATTAAAACACATTCTTCAAAGGATAAAAATCCTTTTAATCATTCTAGGGATTTTCTAAAAAGGAAGTGTTATAAGATCATTTATAAAATGCTTGTCTTAAGGGTGGGTGAAAGTAAAGACTTTGTGAAATCTTATTTGCCTTAGAGAAACAAGCAGAAGAGAACAACCATAACCATTTTGGTTTGAATTTCCTATTATTATTGGTGTTCTGGGAGAAAGAGTGGTCAGGTTGTTTCATTACTTGTAAATGAGATCAAAGTTTTGTGAAGGCCAGGGGAACAACAAAAACAAAAAGTGTATTTTCTACTTGTGGAAATGCTTACTCAAGAACATGAGCAGTGGAGGTGCAAAGTTGTGGTTTAACTCTGCACTRGATTCTCAGGGCCAGTATGTTGCAGTAGAGCATTAATTTCACTGATTTTAGAAGATATTAGACATTTAGAAATCAAAATGATAAACTCAAGGTTCAATGCACTCATAATGGTATAATATTTCAACAGTATAAACAACAGTCCAAGAGTCCTACAAAAAATAATTCTCAACATCTGATGCAAGATCCAGTAACTTTTTTTCTCCCCTGCAAAAAGAACATTCACAATTAGGACTAAGAGACCAGCAATGCCCCTCACCAAAAAAAGACCAATTGACTGGTCCTCCTTAGCCATAAAAACTTTCCTTTTCCTTTTTCTTTTCCTTTATAAAGAAAGTATAGATGTACTTTCACCTTACCTACTGGAATACAGAGGATATCTGATTGGAGTTGCATGAGAACTTTGTTATTGGTCATTCCTCCATCTACTTGCAGYTGGCTTAGTGGTATCCCACAGTCCTTGTTCATAGCATCTAAAATCTTAAGAAAGATTAACATRTGTTATGACTGAATTATAGAGAAATCTATGAAATCCTCTCCATATAAAACACTGATATGTCAGTGTTTGCTAAAGAGTGTAAAATAAATAGTTGTCTCCCCCCAAATATGCAACCCCAAGTTTTAGTCATCATGGAATTAGCAACTGTACAGGTTTGTCTAATATACAGCAGAAATCATAATACTCCAAAAACCATAGTGCAAGAAAAGCATTCCTTCTGATACTAGAACCCTAGCCCTACATGTTTCTTATAAGGCCTGAGAAAAAATAAGAAAAATTGATGGCAACTTACTAGGCAGAAGACAACAATCACAGCTTACATCAAAGATGCCCTAGGAAGAAGTATTCCTGAAAGAAGCTCTTCAGCTGACTACAAGTTGTCTATCTGTCTACTTGTTCTAAGATGAAGCATTAAAGAATGGTGGAATTACATCATTTGAATTGGCATTCTGGGAGATAGTTCAGTGCACAGTAGTTCCCACTGAACTATTTCGAAAGAGCAAACTTTCAGGTATTTTTGATAAGGCAGTGAAAATTATAATTTTACATTTCATTAGACTTTAAGACTAAACTGTTAATGTAAGCGTTGCTAAAATTCTGTGTCTTCTTTTTTTTTTGCATGGTGGAGAGATGAATATGTGGAAAGGATTTTACTGTTTGCAAGGGATAACTGAGAGCTGAGTATTTAAATCACTGATATCTGTCAAAGTGCTTTTTATTACATCTGTAGCACAAGAAATGGTTTCAGAAAAGACAGAACTAACAATATACCTTTGAAAATTGTACATATGTTTATCTGCATCACTAGGAGTTAATCTACTGATCAGATTAATTACTAGGTGTGCGTGGTAGACCTACTCAGGCACTCCTATAATTATGATAGAAGCACATTCACTAAAGTATGAGGAAGTATTAGATTGGTTCAAACAGTTAACTTCATCCTCAGTCTGAAAGCTTTCTTCCTCTTACTCACATCACACACGACAGGTCTTTTTCCCTGATGTTTCCTTTCTTGAGCTGCCACATGAGAGGGAATGGATGGGAGGAGGAAGAAGGAAAAAGAGGAAGAGACTGCAAACTGGGCTGTCGGGTCCGTCCCTGCAATGTCAGCCTGATTTCTGGTATCAGAGATAAATGCTGCTTTCAAGCCCCTTCATGGCTTTCGGAGGGCTCGGAGATGCCCAGGTGAAGTTTCTAGCTCTTTTCTATAGAAGTACTCCTTACTCTACTTTTTGTCATGGCAGAATTAAGCTGCTTTCCTCCTCTCACACAGAATTAGATGGGTGTTATTTTAAACCTCAGCACTAATAACAACATCAGTTTAAAAACATGCAATTGAATCAAAGTTTGACTGTTATATTTGAGGGGTCTCTATTTGTACAAAACACAAGAGAAACATAAATTAATAGGGAGTGGTGATATAACCATTTCTTATTCCTCAGAACATAGATGCCCCTTTAATTTGGTAAAAAGCTTCATTTCTTCACTGAGAATTTTGGTTTGCTTTTGTAGAATGCTGGCAAAGGCAATAGGAAATTTATTTTTGTTCTTGGGTAGCAATGCAAGCCATTTCTTTCACCGCAGACAGTATAAACCACAATCTCACATGCCATAGAAAAAATGTAACTTTTTAGTTAYGGCATTGGTCTTGTCATTGGATTGCATCTGTGTTTTGCAAGTCTTGAGATTCACAAAAACCGCATCCTAACAGCTGATAAAGAACAACATTGCCCATGTAAATAAGGCACCAGCCAACCAGATCATTGCAGCCAAGTCTGAAGGAGCAATTCATCAACATTAGCACCATATGAAGAGAAAGATAACATCCAAGCACAATATCAAGTGATTCATTAATCTTTGTGAAGTCCTTCTGGTCCTCTATTCCTGAAGAGTTACAGTGCCCGATATCATATTAATTTTCAGTGAATTTATTAAGACTTAATTTGTCTTTACCTCTCGAGTTTGAAAGCAGACAGCTTCTAGTGCAGCAAAGGCAATGTGATTTTTATTTGTAAACTGAGTAAGGCCACAGATAATACTGTTCAAGAGAAAGAAAATGCATCAGTTAGAACACACATCTTTATCAGAAGGGAAATATTTCAGACCTAGGCCTGCTAGATTAAAACTCTTCCAGTCTCATCAGTTTTATCAGTCTTTCAGTTTTATCGGTCTTATCAGTTTTATTTATATATAAGGACTTTTTTTTTCCTGTAGCTATAAAAAATACCTTAATTCTAAAGATGAGACTACTCAAAACCTTTAAGCCTTTTTTTTTTTTTTCCCTCATTTTAGCAAACTTATACTTCTGTATACTTTCTGTAATTCTTATGGCATGGTCTGATTCCAACAACAGTAGGCAAACTCACAATAGCAGAAAATACAAGTAGAAGGATGTTGTTTGCACTAGTAGTTCTAACTATTACCAGTTATCAGTATCACTATTAATCACCCCAAAATGTGTTGGAAGGAATCGGCCTAYGCAATAGATTGGCAAGCGAAGGAGAGCTGGACTTATGGGGGAAGAGGAGGGAGAGAGAGCAAGATGGGAAAGAATTAAGTAGCCTGTATCTGAGACCGTGAAAGCAGCAGCAATGGGGAACTGATCTCACAAAACTAATCAGCATTAAAATCTTCACTTTATATGTTCACAGGTCACAGGTATGCATGAGGAAGGAGGAGAAAAAAAAAAAATGAAAAAAGAGACAGGACCCTTATTACTGAGAATGATAAAATTATCCTGTAATCATCCTCCAGAATCTACAACTCAGTCCAAGTGGTATCCCTGTCAAATCTCCATCTTATTTTTCTCTTACAGGAGGTAGCTGAGACAGAYAATTTTAGTTCACGTTTCTCTGTTGAAGACATCACAGAGAACAAGGTATCCTGATACACCAAAGAGGCAAAAGTAAAACTGAGTTCACAAAACTGGGGGAAACAGTGTTAGTGTTCGCAAATAATTAAATCTACCTGTAAATGCAGTGTTTAATTAGATCCTTACCCCCTTGCACTGGGTTCCCAGTATGGTGCATACAGTCCTGAAAATGCTGGCACAAAGTAGCAGCCATAAGAAGTCCCCACCTCTGCAGCCAGTTTTTCTAATGCACACACAGACATAAACAGTCTTCACACAGCTTTTCACAAGGGTACCAGCACTTAAATATGGCACTTTAAGTTATTATTTAAATAGGGAATATTTCAGAATATGTAAAAGAGCTAAAAAATAAATAACCAAGCCATAAACAAGCAGAAAATCTAAATAACTGACATTCAGCTCRTTAACTATTTGTTCATTTTCAGTGGAAGGTGGAGTATAAGAAACTGCAGGATATGTAAAATGAACAAAAAAAAAATCAAAATTAAAATCTGAAATTATGTATTCAATATGTTAACCTAAATTCTGTGAGGTTTTTAAAAGGTATCCTTCAGCGTGGTCCAAAAAGTTACACTTCCCTTGCATATAAGTCAGTGAAAGTAAAGGAAACTGCATTAAGACCAAAGGGAGTTAAGAACTAAACTCCCAGAAATTTCAAATGGATTTAGAACTCTAAATTCATAGCCTAAGTATATAATTACAAGCCCTGCTACAAGGAAATCTAAAGTTTCTTAATGCCGAGTAATAACATTGGATATCTGAGTTCACCAATACTGAAATATTAATTATTAAAACATAAATTATTTTTGTTGTTGTTTTATTAAAGAGAAATGGTGAAAATTTCCCACTTGATTTTAGTAATGCCAATATGATTAAAGTTCTTGAATTCTAAACCTAATAAAGGTTTAGTCAAACTTCTGAAGCCAATGGGTACCAAAGCGTTTCGACAACTGGATAATTCTGTGGCAAAGGCATGGATGCTTCCATATGGATCTATGAAGCTTTTACTTGAAAAACAGCTTGACAGTCTCTGTTATTGCCTAGTCTTTGAAGTTATAAGCGAATTTTGAGTTCTACATATTTCCACTTTTGAATAGATATATAAAATATTACAAAATGTACTGAATTTCCTACATCTCATTAAAGCAGTCTCTTTCAAATTGAGACTTGCAGGCTTCTGAATATTTTCTTCCTTTTCAATTTTTTTGTATTTCTATTTTCTCTAATATTTCACATTCACTTGTTTGAAGTTCTGCTCTATCAGAAACATCAGCTACCAGTATTCCAAAGGATTATGATATTGTTAGCCAAAACAGATTACATTATCACCTACAATTTCATTAAAGAGACAGCTTTGCAAGTGGAGGTCTTCTACTGCTTTGATGTAGATGAATCCTTCTATATAAATGACAGCATGTTTCGGGTTTCAGGTTCTCTTGTTTGTTAGGAATGCATATGTTGCTTTAAGATTCAGTTTTCACTGGGTTCCATGGATGAGACTTACACACTACTGGCTTTGGAAAATTCAGTGTTTTATGAAACCAGGAAATACACTATAAGTGTAATACATTCCTGGACGTCTATTTGCTAGGACAATTATTAATAATTATGAACTGTAATAAAATGAAGCTRACAATGGGTTTCAAAGACCTCAGCGAGATGCTGTATGAAATACACGTGTCAATAAGCAATGATTCCAGAGATGCAAAATGAATTATTTGAATACAAAGGTGTGCTCTAGGTGTCCTTGCTTGAGCAGGAGGGTTGGACTAGATGATCTCTACAGGTCCCTTCCAACCTCAGCCATTCTGTGATTCTGTGACATCAAATTTACATATCTTGCAGTTTCTGCTTACTTGACTGCTTTGAGCTTTTACTCAACATTGCAGACATCAAGATGGGTAAGAAGAAAACCTGAAAGATTAACAGCTCCAAATTGTGAACACTCACCAACTTCCTGTGAAGTCTTAACGATACCTAGATTGTCTCTCAGCCAACGAATAACAGCACCAGCTATTGCAACAGATCCCTAAAGGAAAAAAGAATATCACTACAAGATCAGGAGAGCACAACTGGTAGCATCATGTTCATTTTTACAGGACTGGAGAGGAGAGGTAGCTGCACGTAGAGTACWCCCAAGAATGTTGACAGCATGTTTCGGCAGCTCGAGGTCACCATGCAAGAATAGCAGCCTGTTATTTAGCATCCTTGAAAAAAAAAGTTCCTCCCTCCCTTTCAGGGAAGTTACAATGACACTTGCTAAGCAACCTTTTTGCTCCCTCTAATTTGGGTCTCCTCCTGAATATACAATGCTGAGGCCCACTATCCTTTTCTACTAAATTAAAACTCTCATGCTTTGATTTTTAAAAAATTAGACTCATTATGTAGTTGAGCTCTTTAAATGCTACAGTAGTGGTCTATGTAGTGGTCTAACTACAAATGTCTAGAAAGAAAGTTAAGCATTGGCCAAAAAGACCAACAAAATTCCCATGTTGTCTCAGCAAATGGCTCTGAATGCCCCTATCTTACAATGGGATGAATGGCATGGCTTCCATCTCACAACGGAGACCAAATGGTTTCCTCAAAAAGACAGCCTCCAGACTCCTAGGCCAAGCCTCAACAAAAACAGAAGTGCAACTGTATTTCTATTCAAAGTCATTGCTAGAAGGAGGCAAGGGTGTTTGCTAACCACTTAGTTCTTACAGTTATGAGATTGAGGTTTGATTAAAAGAAAAACTGAACCCACTTCTGTCACAAGTGTCTCAGCTGTCACACTGCACACCATCCTAGGCTGGATGCAGGAGCAGGGAGTATTCACTACCTTCTGCTGAAGCCATTTCTTCAGACAGCATAGGRAAGGGCTTGGAGATGAGGAAGAAACAGAGCACGTGCACGCCTGAGCACGCTGAAGTTTGAAACGTTCTCAAGACAGTTCTAATTCTCACTTCAAGAACATAGATTCAACAACAATAACAAAATGCAACAACAACAAAACCCCAAGTTGATCAGAACATGGCAAATGGAAGTTCCACTTTCCTTGGGRGAAGAAAATGAAATGAATAGAGCTTTTCACATTGCACAAGAGTCTGTAATCCACCAAGTATTGTCTGGCTGACATGGAAAAATGGGCTCATTTAAAAAGCTCAAGAACAGCAGACAAATCAGGGTGYTTCAAGAGTAACCAACAGACCAAATGTACTAAGCAAACTAGGAGAAAAAATACTTATTCCACAAATCCCAGTGAAGTTTTGCTGCAACACAGCTGCTAAGCCAAYCTGTGATTGAGAATCAGAGTTTTAAACCCATTAAACATGAAAATTAAGGAGTAAAAATCCAATTATTTAGAGAAATTGGATGTTCTCTGAGTGGCAGAGGAAACTGAGGAACTAGATTCTGTAAGTAAGCATCTATGTTTTAGTACATCAAAAGCACACAATTYAGATGCTTCTCATCTTAGTCATTTSATTCAGTTTATAAAAAGTTAAAAATAAAAACCATTAGAATGACAAAGATATTTAATCATAATTTTTATTATGAGAGAGAACTTCCCCCCTTTTTAACACAATCTTCATATGCAATTATCTGTTAGATTTGCAATATWATGCAATAGAAAAAAATATTTTCACTCTAATGGTCTACAAATAAGTGATGCAATGTAGAAACATATTTATTTAAATCAAAAAATTTAGATTGGAGGTGGAGATGGGGTAATCAAAACCACACATAAGCCCTGAAGTACTCATGCCATAATGCAATTTCTTTAAAATTTCTGTGCACCTGAACATTTTCTCTACAAATAATCAAAAGACATATTCTTTACTACTGTTTTCCAATATATTCAATTCCAATATTATATGTATGTAGCAAGATAATTTGTATCACTATAAAAAGGAAGAAATTACCATACTTACTTCTAGTGCATAACAAACAGGTTTGTCTCTGCCCAGTTTGTAAGCTATTGTGGTTAGAAGACCATGCTCAGAAAACACAGACTAAAAGGGGAAGAGGAAAGAAAAAGGTAAGCCATGAACAGAGGCAGAATATATAGAAAAATATTCAAAATATAATAAACAAAGTAAAATCTTTACTTAAACTTTAAATATTAAGAGTTTCAACAAAATAAATGATTTATCACTAACTAAGCACCTAAGACAGGCTCCTCAGCTAATTCCTGTTCCCACAGATAGGGCCAGAAAGTGGTAACAGATCTTTCCAAACTCTTAAAAACCAAGAATGGGAGTTCTTTAGAAAGAGATATGACTAAGAAGGATGCCTAACTTTTCCATTATTTACTAATACTACTACAGACAACAAATGGGAAAAAAAACCTCAAAGGGCAGAACTGAAGTAACCAAGTCAAGGAGAAAAGCATATGGTTAGCTAGCAGAACACTCAGCAATTCTTGTGTGAGGTTAAGAAACCTATGGAAGGAAAGAGTGAGAAACTTGCTATGGAAAATTCATGTTGGAAACTATGAAATTGAGTCTTTAACTTGAACAAATGATTATTTCCATTGTTTTGGAGTAATAGGTGCAGTTTTCCTGCAGCTACGCAGTTGACGTTAATAAATTTAAGAAAGTCTGATTTACGGTTGTATTTGAGTACTCAAAATCGTTAAAAACAAGTGAACAACTGGAAAAACAAAAAACAAAAAACACTGACCTTCTGCCCTGTATTGCACAGTAAGAAACATCCCGTTCCATACCTAGAGTCAAACGAAAGGAAAGTTAATGCCAGTATGCTTAGAGGATAACCAATTCCTGCAGTTTGGGTATCCATGATTCCACTGCAGAGGATCAAGATATGACTTTTTTTCCCTGCTTGGATGCCATGCGCTACTATTWGATCATAAAACCTTTCTCTAAAGGTTGATCCAAATGCAGGCTACTGCTGAAAGATCTTATACCAGTCAGTCTTCTCTTCCTGGCTGACAATTTCTTGCCTAGTCATTGAAACAAGGAGCATTAGGGCTGAAAACCAAGAGGGAATTCCTCTTTGGTGGCCATGTTTACTTCAAATTAAGCTGATTAGGGAAGTTACTTTATAAAGTAAGAACTGCACAAAATTAAATTCAAACTTTTAAAAGAGAAAGTTTAAGAAACTTTGTTCCCGTTTCAAGGAAATTGCTTTTTAAAATAAATATATACTGATCAAATATTTCTAAAAATCCCATTTTTCTTATTTGAAGGACCATATCACATGTACATGAGCACACATGCACACGCAATGTACAAGGACACAACTTAGTAAKAGGAATACAAAAAATACTCACTATCCACTCTAACTTATTCTAAATAATTGTCTCTTACTATTATTAATGTCCTGAAAAGCAGTAGCTTAAAATATGATTGAGAAAATTCTCAGGTATATTTGGAGAGAATAAAAGATAATATTGCGTTACAAATAATTAAAAAAAYCTCATCTGACATTCAACTACTACTGGATATTTTTTCCAAAGATCTCTTGTGTTATAAATATACTTTCTCACAATATTCATGTTGTTTTATTAAAATGCAACGCCACTAACTATTAAAATATTAAATTTGTTTACAAATGTAAAAGCTAAAGTGAAAGTTAATTAGCAACCAGCAAAGATTAATGTGTAATTAAATCTGTGAAAGTCCAATACTGCGTGTTTACCTACGTGCTCAGTTAAGCACACAATTGTAAATGGAACRGTGAGTCATTTAAACAGAGAGCTCTTCCTCAAATACATGTTTGATTATTCCAGTGCCCTGATTTAACTGACAGCTGTTTTAAACAAGGGACACTAAGAAGTTGAGAACAGAGGAGATAAAAAAAAAAAAAAAAAAAAAAAAAAAAAAAAAAAAAAAAAAAAAAAAAAGGCAGATTAACAAGTCTTCACATTAAACTGGACATGGAGCACAAACTAAATCACTAGAACATAAATGGATCCTAGCAATCTAGCAATACTTTATGTTTCTTGTCATTTGAATCTATGCAATCTAACTTTCATGCTCTCTTACACACAGCTGGTTTTARGTCCCTGAAATTAAATATTTGCAACTGCTTTAGTCTGTGCCTTGGAGAATTTTAAAATGAAAAACCACTTGCCACATAGGAATGATTCCTCACACACTTTGTTCCAAAATGTACCTTACAATTTAAAATCTTCAGTATTTTATATGAAAGTCAGGACATATTTACTTTGCAGGACTACACAGTCCAAAGGTAGAGCTGCAGTTATGTGGTAACTACAAACATATTTTGCAGTTAGACTGAAAGAGAAGACAGTTAATTCAAAACAGAGCAGTGACTGACCTACTGTTTATTGCACAACTTCTGTAATAACTTACGTATTTTTTGCCTGACCATCTTGAAAACACATTTGCCCCACAAGAGCAGCAGACTGGTCACCCAAACACTGAAAAGAGAGGGATTCTTTAGTAAATGTTGATGCATGTGATTCATGCACAGACAAGTAGCATGAGCAGATATATTTAATTCTAACTATAACCTATTAGCAGTGCTTGTGTAATTAAAATTGAGGAAGAAACCTATAGAGACAACATGTGCAAAATACTACTGTCTCCTGTGTAAGAAATGCAGGTGAAAATGAGTCGTGATAGTCAGGGTCAATTGTGACCGTGTCAATTGGTGACAATTGTGGTCAATCATAGTCAATTGGTGAACAATTTAAAGAAACCAAAGTTAAATACACTATTTGGATGTACATGATATTGGAAATAGCTGAGAATCTGTCCAACATTCATGGATAGTATATATCAGTTCATTTTATATATGTAATATGACTTGATTCCATTTTGTGATGTCACTCAGAGACCTTAAGTTTCCAACAGAAATATACAAACACATTAAAGTTGTCAAGTATACATTTAAATCCAAGACTTATTTTAGTAACTGAGTGGGTTCTTCATTATTAGCTTATTAAAAAAAAATATAAAATATATAAATACTATACATAAATAATATATACATATATATATAAATAAAATCATCAACTTAATTTGTAGCAAGATTCATTCATGTTAAAGGTGTTAAAGGTGTTTTTCCAATAAGGACACACTCATGCAGTATCAGGTTCTCATGCCAGGATTTGAGTTGAAGAGAACTCACCCCAGAAATTGGTACACCTGTCAAGGCTCCCGACTTCTGATTTAACAAAAAAAAGGAAAAAAAAAAAAGAAATAAAAAAAAAGAGAGAAGGAGAGAATTAGATTTCTAATATTTCAATTTGTAATGAGAAATAATCTATGCTTGTGTTTGAAAGGAAAATATGCATCTCAGACGTAGACACAAACCGATGAAACAAGGCTCTATGTCACGTGTCTCTAGTGTTTGAAAAGTCGCTCTTAAAGTACGTTTACGATAGAAGTGTTTGCATATTGCAAGCCAAATTTCAGATTTCAATACCACAGCCAAAAAAATGAAAACATACAGAAAAAGCTCTAATAGGCAAAAATAGAGTCAATAGAAACATTAATAAGCCTGGAACACCGTAGCATCGTCCTAGTGTGATGACAGTCATGTATGAAAATGGAAGAGACCAATGAATGTAACCTGCTTACCTCTATATAATATCCATAATCTTTTAAAATATTCAGAACCTTCTGGAACATTTCCAAAAGCACATTCTTTAACCCCATTCCTATCAACATAGGAACTAAATAATGTGCTTTGATCACATTTTAAATATATACCTGAAAACACTTGTGCATTGGCTATCCTACTGAAATATCACTGCAAAATTTATCTTATAATCATGACTAGATCAGTTAAGTGGCCTCCAAATCAAGGATTTTTTTCCATGTTTTTTTTTAAAGCAGCAGGCCACGAAAGATTTTCACTGAAGCTGCAGATCCTTCCAATGTATAAATATATGTGCGTGCGTGCGTGCGTGTGTGTGTGTGTGTGTGTGTGTGTGTGTGTGTGTGTTCATATAATCTAGTTACTGCTATGGAGGCTAACCCAACCCAAGAATTAAAACACGGGAAAAAGTAGCTAAGGGTAAATAAATAAATAAATAAATGCAGCAAGCTGTGCTATCACTGCTGTTTACATTGTATTGACATATAGTATTTTTAACTGCAAAATGTTTGCAGTTAACATTTTTTCTACCATCACTTTTGAGGTGGCAGAATCATGGTAGGAATACATGAGGCAGAACCTAGAAACTTTATTCTTCCAGACTATAGATCAATCTCAAAAAGGAAAAAATAATCTCTAAGGAAAAAGTGGGCAGGGGCCACAAGATAGGCAATGAGACATTATCATGGAGAAACACATTTCTGGTAGCAGCATTWGTTTCTCTGAGAATTTAGCACAAAGAAAGCAAAAACAAAACAAAACAAAAGAAACCCACAGATACAAGTGTTCAGGGGAAGTCTGAAGGTGAATCTTTAGGTCAATCCTTTTAAATTAAGCTTATCAAAAGCATTAATTCCTACCTGAACATAGCAAGGACTAACTATTCTGCACTAACCACCTTTCAGTTAAGACTCAGAGCAGGTAACTAAAAGTCCAGACTTTTTTCTTTTATGTCATTTTAAAAAAAAAATGCATTGAAGGCAAATAGTGTAAAAAGGAAACAAAAATTAGCAGGAAAAACGTATGGATATGCTTGATATCACTTTATAGTTCTTGAAAGAGATTTTGTTAAAACCATACTGTACAGAAAAATAAGCAGAGAATATCATGCAGTCTGTGAAGCTTAAAATGTGAAGGTGAAAAACAGCAAAGTGACTGGAAAAAAAAATGATTTTAATAACAGATACCTAATTTTAAAATACAGCATATTAAGTCCCATATAGAATTTCTTTCAAATACCAAGACATGCTTTCTAAGTCACATTCTTGCAGTAAGTATCATAAGAAATGTATACCCTGTCAATCTTTACCTCTTACTGTAATTTGTTTCTCTGTGGAACTGTGACAATGCATTTTCAGTGAAGGCATGCATGTGCATTTCCAGTAAGAATCTTAGTTWTTTTTTTAATTCTAATTTTAATTAATTGGAATTTAAGGCAATTGAGTTTATAAATGCATTAAAAAATACATTTATAGAACCAGTCAACCAACATTATTAACCAACATTAATTTGTGACTTCATTGTAAGAGGAAACATTCAACAGCCTGAAAATTAAACCAAACAAATAAAGATTACGGTTAAGAAATATCCTTGAGATGAGCTCCGATTGCAACATTTGGATATATTGGTCTCACATTTGGATATACTTGCCAAATTTATGGACCTAGAAGATGTGGTTTAACTTATCCTCTCATCAGTGGAAATGCACAACATCTGAACAGAATGAGTGAGATATGGGAGGTCTGCCTAATGAAAGCTTCTACTCACCAGGCTAGGACAGATTTTCTATAGTCAGCAAAAAAAAAAAAGAAAAAAGAAAAGAAAGAAAAAGAAAAAAAAGAATAGATGGGTGGAAAAAGGAAGAGAAAACAAAGTTGAAATTTACCAAATTTACAGTGAGCAGCTGTTTTATTTCAATTACCATGTAGCTTCATTTTGCATTTGCATCATTTGCTCACCCAAAAACAATTCCCATTCCAAATCTTCACATTACTAAAGCCAACTATGATTCCTAACGGCATCTTCATTAACAGAATAGTAAAAATATTTCAGGTTCATGCAAGTTAGAATTACATTGCACATAAAGGTCTCATAATTTTTCCTAACTACAAAACGCTTGCATGTACTTTTCAAATATACAAGATGATAAAATAGGAGGATAATAACAATTTCTACTCCATAAAAATCTCTATATCCAGCATATTCTATTCTTATGCCCTTACCTAACCAAAAGGATACGTTACATACCACAACATCACAATGAGCTGATGCTCTAGGCAACAAAACCTGAGACCTCAACCTCATGGCAACAATTCATTTTTAAGTAATATTCATAGCTGCATGGAAAGCAGTGTGATTAAGAAAACATCATAAYGCTCTAAAAGATTTTAAAGTGAATTGCTATATAAATATACACTGCAGGGAGAGTTTGTTTTTCAAAAGGAAGGCAACCAAAGGTGTTATTTGTCATTTCACAGTCCACGTAAGCTAAACCTTGCCTTCAGTTATGAGGAAATGAGCCAYTGCACAACTTGTCCAGGTTTCTTAAGCAGTGAAGACCTCCATAGCAATTCTCATCATCTCTCTGAAAATTTCAGTTGTACAAGAAGCATAATGATTATGCCCTATTTACAGAAATCTCATTACTTTTAATCTAGTGATTAAATTGCAGTATGACTTCTACATTCTGCCTGACAGTTTCAAACTTAGCAAGTATTTGACAGTAAAAATATTTTTTTAGTCTTATCAGAATCGCTCACAACTTGTTTTGCCATTTGAGGCCTAAAGTAGAAAACAGTAAATTTTCACCTTCCAGAATATTGCACAGCAATAGATACAGTAATCATGAATCAAGCAATACTGGTCTAGAAAATGGCATTAGTTTTTCTTTATGCTAATTCTGCTAATTTATACTGATATGGTTTTATCTTTACAAGATTATCTTCATGCATAAATTAAAAAAACAAAACAAAACAAACAAAACCAAAAAACATACCATCAGGCCATAAATCTCAGAAGAGCTTCGTACTTTTGGAAGTATTTCCATGGGAATATCAAAGAACCTGAACACAATGCAAAATAAGTCATGTATACAATTACAGCTAAATCAGAAAGCAGGTTGCCTTTTTTTTTTCCTCTTAAATAGATTAAGCTAAAATATAAAAACTGCCTACAGTGGTAACCTTGATTTCTAGGGTTTAATCTATGACTGCCTGCTTCTCTACTTTTTACAGTGCACGATACTGCATTATGAAGTAAAAGCTTATATATTTTAATATTTTGAAGAAACTCTTCTTCCCAGCTCTTCTTTGTGGGAAGTCATTCCTCTTACAACAGTATCTTTAGTTATATTCAAATATGTAGATATAAATATATACAATAAATTAAACTGGTAAATCTAAACTTAAAACTCTACAGACACTATTGTAGTAACTGTCTTACAAATTTGTCTGTTAAATAAATTTTAAAAACCTACTAAGTGTTATCATCTCCATGAGTCAGCCTTCCAGCTACAAAAGAAAACGAAAATCAAGGCTTGCTCTCTTTAATAAGTTTAATAGTGGTAATGTGAGCATTTGGAGACAACAACAAATTCTAATTACTAATGGTAACAGTAAATACAATAACAACTGCTGATATTAGTCTAGATGAGATTCTTACTATTCTTAAAAAATATTACTTACTAAATCTATTAATGAAAATCTGAGCTTACTGGCAGAGTTCAGGATCCCAGTCCAAGGAATGAATGTTGAAGAGCATGGTTCTACTGGCATTGGTCACATCTGTGCAGTGAACACCTCCATTCTTCCCACCTGTCAAACTCTGAATAAGCACATCAGCAGTATGAGCCAGGAAAAGTTACGACTTCAACRAAGTTCCAAAAAGTTCTAAATTTACAAAGCTTTAAACTCAGTTCTAAACTCTGCTGGTTTCACAACCGCTAAAGAGACAGATCGAATCACAGAATCATCACAGTTGGAGAAGACCTTCGAGATCACCGAGCTCAACTGTAGGCCCTTCAGCACCCTGCCTGCTAAACTGTGTCCCCAAGCGCCTCATCCACACGTTTCTTCAACACTGCCAGAGACGGTGACTCCACTGCTTCCCTAGGCAGCCTGCTCCAGTGCTTCACCACTCTCCCCATGTAGAAATTCTCCCTAATGTCTAACCTGAACCTCCTCTGGTGCAACTTGAGATTGTTTCCTCTTGTCCTATTAGTTATTCTGGAGAAGAGATAGACCCCTGCCTCACTGCAGACTCCTCTCAGGTAGTTGCAGAGAGTGATAAGGTCTCCCCTGAAACTGCTCTTTTCCAGACTAAACCATCCCAGCAACCTCAGCCGCCCCTCGTAAGGTCTGTGCTCCAGCCCCTTCACCAGCTTCACTGCCCTAATATAATGGAACAAAACCATAACAGACGTAACAAGGACACAGGACTAATGCCTGGATTCTTACAGTGCACAAGTGGCTAATACACCTTTCAAAGCCCAAGATTTTTCAAAAGCATCAACAGAATTTCACCACAACCTATAAATGGAAAAACCTACAAAATAAAATCACATAATTTAAAAAGTGTGTACTGAAGAGACGGTGTGATATGTGGGCATCACTACAGTTACAGTGCTTTTACTAGAACTGTATCGCTCTGCCTATAAGCTCTGCTAAAAATGGTCTTATTTAGTAAATGCTTAGTTGTGAAACTAAAAATACCTTTTTTAAATGAAGAAAAATAAATTGTTCAGAAAACAGAAATTGTTTGTGTCTGAACTAGAATTGTTCAGAATATTATAGTAGAATATGTTAAACATAGCAAGTAAGTGCACAAAWTTTGTTTTTGTCTGTCTTCACCAGAAAATGCTGGTGAATAAGGCATATTCAATGGTAATCCTTAAAAAAAAWGGGAATAACTTATGAACTCATAAATACATACCCATATAAGCCATGAATCAATAGTCCCAAACATAGCTCTCCCATCATCAACTGCTTGCTTGATTTCTTCCACATTATCCAAAAGCCATCGAAGTTTCACTGCACTAAAATAAGTGCTAAGTGGAAGACCAGTTCTGAACTATAAAATTAAAAAACAAAAAAGTTAAGACCATGTAACTGACTATTACAKTTAGAGGTGAAAGTAGTGAGAAAAAAAATGTGAAAAAGCCCAAAGAAATTACAAAATCTTGTTTTCTAAATAAGCAAAAGGCACACAATATGTAAGCCTGAAAATATCAAAACTAAACCATTAGTGCATTAAAGGACAAAGATCAAAATGCAGGTCACAAAACACAGGTCAAAGACCATTTACGTGGAAATGGTTGTTTGCAGAAGTCCTATCTTATCTAAGATAACTCCATATGACTGGTCAGCAAACAATGATGGGAAAAAAAAAAAAAGAAAAGAAAAAAAAGAGGAGCAACACAACATAGGAAAGATGGAATTTGTATTCTACTTTTACTTAGAGGGTAAATAGCTTTATATGCTTTTTGACAATCATTTCCTGCCTATGTTCATTAAGTAATGAATTATGACACCATTTTGCAAGCATTTACCTTCCAAATATAAATGTACATGTGTATATTTACTTTTTAATATTTCCCTACTTGCAAAATTTATTGCATTAACTTTAAAACAGATACACAATAAGAAATTATATATTTACATAAATAAATAGATTTTAGATGAGAATGCTTGTACTTGCTCCTGATTTTTKGAGCAACGTCATCACTGAACAGGAACCACAAAATTAAGTCTTGCTGACAATTATTCTTTTAACTTCTCTAGTGAGTTACATAGGAAGAGTGATCAACTTATCTCAAGGAAAATAAAACCAGATATAGTCTTAAATTTGTGTAGTGTACTAAGCACATTTTTTATTATATGACAAACTAAAAAGGGATTGAAAGCTACAACCACGTCACTTTGTTATATGGAATTTTAAGCACACATCTCTTAAAACCATTATATACTATAGCGCCAACTGTTCAGTTACTAGGCTGAAATAACCTTACCTTAAAAAAGGATTTATTTTTTCCTGGGATTCTTTTAAGAAGGCGTTCAACTGTTGACTGTGTTCTCAAGTCAAGCCACACTAAAAGTCCAAATAAAATTAATTAATCAAATCCTTTAATACATGAACAGTGACATCTACGAGCTTCTCCTATAAAACTGGAGTTCCTATCAGTAGACTCCTGCCTTTATGTCTTTATTAATTAACTGAAAGAACGGATTCAGATACTTAATGGATTGTTGCAAAAATTAAAACTGGTCAGGACTCATTCTATTTAGAAAAACAAATTATTTCATAAATCAAAACAAGACTTCCACATAATAGGTTATATATCTTTTTCCGACCAGAGTGTAAACAAATGACTAACTATACCTTTTAGTTTATAGCAGATGAATGTCAAAATTAGAAGGCTAAAACAAACACTAAGTTGATTATTTACTATTACTATGAAAACTTTGAACTAAAGCACTATAACAGAGTTATCAAGGCACAGCTTGGCATAACATATAGTAGTAAACAACATATATKTGAACATGAAGGTACTGCTCTTTTAATCACACTACGCTAAACTAAATTATCTAGTATTTGSCATGGGCTAAAAGCACAAACACAGAGAATTACCACTTCTCTGCTGATAAAATCTGAAAAAGCCACAGTTTTAAATTTAAATTATGCAAATCCAAGCCAGTATATTATATTAATTAATTATATTTACTTAAAATGCTTTGTTGGTTGGTCGTTTTTTTGTTTTCCATTTATGTTAAATCAAAAGAATCCTGAAGAATTGGTAAGCTCCTTCATTTAAAAGAAAGTGATTTGGCCTAAGTCAGAGCTTTATTGCACGCTAATGATGCACAAAACCCAACAAGGCTTTGCCTTTTTGTTGAAAGTCTATAAAACGACTTATTAATCCATTCAATAATAACTGTAACAAATAGGCCCCAATTGCATCTGCTCATACAAACTCAGAACTTATAAGAGAGATCACCAAAACCAAAGCAGCGAGGAGGAAACCTGCACAGAATCAGGAAAGCATTTTTCTACAACACACTTGACAATATTTCATATTTAGAAAGTACAGTAGTTACCAATGGCATTATAAAGAGGCTCGCCCGTCGTCTTGTCCCAAACCACTGTTGTTTCTCTCTGATTGCTGACTCCAATGGCTTCAGGACAGAACAGAAAGAAGGATCCTTTTCAGAAGGTTTACTTTCCCCTTTTGCGGGGTGAGTGGGGTAGGGTGGGGTGGAGAGAAGGGAGGAACAGGTAAGGAGAAGGGGAAAGTAAATGGGAAATAAAATGCTTCCAACTTTTTCATGTTATAGTGTAGAAATATTACTTTTAAAACCATAACTTTAATCTGTTGCTGCTTAACTCATGTGCTTTGCATCTCTCTCTCATTTTTGCCACAAAATGACATGGCAACAAAACTGACAGCGAAATTAGTTTTTGCCAATAGATCCTATTTTAAATGGCAACATTTTTCACTTATCACTTGTCTCTTATTTTGCAAGTTTACAGAATCACAGAATGGTTAAGGTTGGAAGGCACCTCAAGAGATCATCTAATCCAACCCCCTGCTCCAGCAGGGACACCCAGAGCACGGGGCACAGGGCGGCATCCAGGCGGGTTTGGAAGATCTCCAGAGAAGGAGACTCCACAGCCTCCCTGGGCAGCTTGTGCCAGGGCTCTGGCACCCTCACAGGAAAGAAGTTCCTCCTCACRTGGAGATGGAACTGCCTGTGTTCCAACTTGTACCCATTACCCTGTGTCCTGTCACTGGCCACCACCGAGAAGAGCTTGGCCCCTTCCTCTCTACATTCCCCCTTTATGAACTTATACATGTTAATCAGATCCCCTCTCACCCTTCTCTTCTCCAAGCTAAACAGGCCCAACTCACTCAGTCTCTCACTATTTGTAGACTTTGCATTGCTAAAATGCATGAATGAATTCTCAAGACTGCTAACATTTTTTTCTGAGGGCTCACTATGCTGCCACCTTTCTATGCATTGACTTCTTAAAAGTAGGGAATCTGCTTTGCTCAGTCGTAAGCACGTTAAAGCCCTCAGTTGCCCTTAAGTACTAGAAATACCTTTTATGTTAGTGATGTCAATGTTCAGTTGTTGCAGTTTCTCACAGGTCTTTTCTACACATTCATGGACTGATTTTAAGATTTCCTTTGGGTCTTGTTCTACCCATCTTGAACAAACAGTAAACATCAGTCAATAGATTAAAATAACAACAACAAAGAGAAGCTACATTTAAGACAAAGATGGAAGGTTTCCAAATCTGACTGAGAAACACCTGAATATTTGATGCAAGCCTAGTTACAAAGCCTAATTACAAATATGTTTTACATATCCAGAAAAAGTATGATGGATTCCAAAATCCTTTTAAAGACTAAGTTGTATTTCCACAGAAAAATGTCTGTAGAAAATAGAGAATTTTGTTTTGCTTTGTTTCCACACAGGTAAACGCTAGGTCAATTAAGTACAAAAAATAAACAAACCAAACCAAAACAAAACTAAAAACACCAAACAAACATGCAAACTAAGCAAATTTCAATGCAAAAGAATATGATTAAACTGTAGGAATGGCCAATGTTCCACTTTAAACATGATGGCAAAGGASAGATTAATGATTGGTCAGTGATTTAGATTTAAGTAATTTAAGTTTATCTTGCTTAAGAGCACGTACTGGATATCAATATACTTGTTATGCCATCTTTTCTACTATGCAATCTTTTACAGCAATATCATGTTCTTGATTATTCAGCAACTTTGGATTTAAACAATCATACATGAAATTAAGAAAGTTCTACTGAAATGTAGAAAACATACAAAAGCAGAGAATTCATACCCTTCCTTGGGGAATTTCTGTTGAATCTCAACTTGATGGTGACTCAAGAGCTCTGCTGTCTTTGCATTAAAAACCTGTAAATGGATCACACAACTGAAATTACTATGAACACATAAGTTTAAACAGCAATAAATYAACATTATTTCTATTCAAAAAAACCACAGTGATAACTAATAGTTGTTTTTCTTGTCTATCATCATCACCTACAACAAAAAGGCAAACATACACTTAACGTTGGTTATATGCATTTTTGTATTTAAGTGAACAAAGAATACTTAGGTAAAGCTTTTGCCAATTATAACCACTATGTTTTTTCGATGGATAGCCACATTGGAGGTTATAAACACTGGCCTCATTACGTATTTTGGAACATATTTCTCTGTTTGTAATATACCAGCTGCTAGCTACAATACCATTAATCTAGTCCCTGCTCTGACACTGATGCCACAGGTATGCTGTGTCCTGGCTTACCTCACTTTYAGGACAAGTGATTTGAAAAGACATGGACCTGAAATAGCAGAAGGAACCAAACTGCAATGACAGAAGAGGGACCCAGGCAGAACCCAGTTTCTTTTGAATCTACAAATACTGAACACATGAAAAATCTGACAAGGAAAAACCTCAGTGCAACATCACAATGCATTAAAAAAAAAGAGAGAAAGAAAAGACAATACCAACTATTTCATCAGACTTGTCTGCACAACTGTTACTATCTTTTCTACACTTCATTGCCAATACTCTAATTTCAATCCACAAGTTGCAGGATTTTCTCTCAAAGCTTGAAAGCCATAAATTCTTGATTTCATTTAGATAGCCAAGTTTACTTGAACTTTCATAAAAATTGCAACCAAGCAGATAATGAAATTCTGATTCTTTCATTTTTTTGAAGCCTTATAGAACATCTTTAAAGTGAACCTTTAAGGTTTATAAATATTAATTATATTTATAATATATATGGAGTGTATACACATATATATATATATATGGAATGCGAGACCTGCAGATGACCCAGGTTGAAGCTCTGGCACACCCAGGCTTTTTTAAGCCTCCTCTAGAGCAAGCTGTTCCAATGGGGATAAATTATGAGCAGAACAAGYAACAATACAAACTCAGAGACTTCTCATGCCCACGGAGCATACCTAGGTAAACATGCTATCAACCACAAGCCAACCACAACCTTTTAACTTCCTCCACAAAAGCAGCAGACACTCCCAGCACCTCAGGGTAAGGGATTAGCAAGCTTCACYGAGAACAATTCTGTGCTCTGTATCAGTACTAGAATTGCCATGAAGTGACGAAAGCTGTGGGTAACTGAGACATGGAAGAGGGGAATAAACAAACAAAGCAGGAGCCCTTCAAGAAGCTATTATCAAAAATAGATGAAAAAAATAAAAATCTGTCCTTCCTTATTTCTTTATGATAGTGATGAAAAAGAAAGAGAAATGCAGACAGTAAGTAGGAGCGATTCAGAGAAGGTCAACAAATTCTTTCTGAAACAGGTTTGAACTCTATTTCTGTCACTGCTTTTCTTCTTTTCATATTCATTATGAGCTCAATCCGGATTATGATTCTGAGCTCTCACTTTTTGTAGGAAAGGAAACAAAGTTGGTTTTGTCCCGTTGTGTGAGCAGTTGCCATGCAAGGATGGCCTGTGCCATTTGAACCTGTGGAGCTATTTTGCTACAGGAATGGTGGGCAAAAGACTGTTTAAATGGCTACAGATGTATCTCTACTTAGCTATACTGCATAGCTAAGCGAACAGATAAGATAAAGGGCAGCTCATTTAATGCCATCTCTTTGCAGGAACTCTGATGTAACACGTGGCATCTTATGAAGGGATGTGACAGCTGAATGGTAATACACTCAGTTCTTATCCTACTGAAAAAGGATTCAGCGCCATCAGTTGTAGCAATTTTCAAAGAAGGTGGCTTACAGAGAAGTGTGAGAATCACAGAAGTGATTCAAGTCAGGAAGTAGTAGTGAAAAAATAGGAACAAYATCACAAAGGCTTTAGAAGTAACTATTGATGACTTCTGGGCTTTGCCACTCAGGATAGTCATGTAACCGCCCACAAAAAAGCAAAACAAAACAAAACACATTTCTGTCAGCCTGTCTCTTCCCGAGTTAAGCTGAACCAGTTAAAGTTCAGCAGGAAAACAAAGTTAGAGAGGGAGTTTAGAAATTGCACTGAAATCAGCCCAATTAGGGGCAGGCTGACAGGGGGATGCTAATTCAACCCTTGGTTTTTAACTAGGATTTGCAGATAGAATTCTGAAGAAGCTCAGTTTAATAAAGGGGTGCTTATAAATGTGGGAAGAAAGAGCAAAACTGCAACGTCTTTTAGGGTAAAAATGTTAAAAGCTGACAGGCAGGGAAAGGTCACAGCACCTATGATATTTGTTAACTGTTCTTGTTAACGATACAATTAGTTTTGTTTTTCTAAAAGGTGGAGCTACTTCAGAAGACGAGATGAGTGTACTCCCATCTTAAGGATAATCACACTGGATATCTTTTTTTTTAATTAAAAGCCTTTTTGTGTTTATCAAAAAGAAGGGTTATAGTGTAGTATAATTTTACTTAAAGTATATCTTCTGCAGAGAAAGAAGCAGCAGAGAGAAGTGCTCTGCCGCGCYGGGTAGCGCATCCCCCATGGCAGGCTGAGCTGGAGCGCGGACTGCTGCACACGTACGTCCGCACTCACACAAACAGGTCAATCTGGGCTCTTCCGAGGTAAAATGCCAGAGAAACCACCCAGCAAACATCCTTCAAGAGACCAGACAGCGGTTCACCTGGCCATTAGCTCCTGACCACAATATTTTTAACATGAAAAGAAGAAAGTACAATGAATTTTTATGATACAATTCTTGAATTTGGTGAAACTCCAGCTTTATCAAAGGAGAGTTGAAATCTAAAAAATAATAACTATATTTTAAAAGCAAGTAGGGTAGTAAAGAAGAGATCCGAATTAAAACCCCTGAGACAAGAAGACAGCATAGGCTGAAAGTCTGTGTTGTGTGTGAATGAAATACACAAAAGATAAATAAGGAGTGAAAGTAACAGAAATATTTTTTAATTTCCGATGCTTTCAAAACTACCTACATGAGCCATCTGTGCTCATACAGTCTTGCTCACATAAGCTGGAGAATTTCAGAAAATTTAGTTTATGTCCAGGCAGAATCACAGATCAATTTATGCTGGCAGGACTCCCTAGAGGTCACTCGAGCCACTGCTCCAACAGGGCTGAATTCTAAGACAGACCAGGTTGCTCAGAGCCTTTTCCAGTMAAGTGCTGAGTATGTGCAAGGAAGGAAAGTGCACAGGCTTGTTGGGCTCCTGTTCCTGTTCCTTTGACCTCCGCATAATCAAGACTTTCTTCCTTGGATCTATTTGCTAGCTCCCTTGCTGCGACCTCTGTTCAGCGCCAGTTGCCCTTTTGCTGTGCACTTTTGGGAAGAGCCTGGCTCTGTTCTCTCTCAAACCACTGCTGGGTCCTCAGAGACATCAGTAACATCCCCAGGAGCCCCCCGAGGCTGCACAAGCCCAGGACTCGCAGCCCCTCCTCGCATGAGCTGCAGCCTGCAGACCGTGTTAGAGACCCTCCTGGACCTACTCCACCTCTTCAGTCCCCTCCTTGCTCTGGGGGCACCACCACAGGACACAGGAGATGCTGCTTCACAAGTGCYACCCAGCTGGGAACAGCTGCTGCCTGTCACCCTTGCCATTGACCTTCACCATGGCCAGGACACARGGCTGACGGGGTCACCCAGCTGCCCACCACATCCCCCAGGGCCACCCCACAGTCCCCTCTCGGGACAGCTGCAGGGGGTCCTGTCCCAAGATTTGAAATTCAACCGTGTTGAGAATCACGGCACTTCATTACACATCACAACCTCCTCACTTCGTTGAGAAGCTTCTGCCAGGCCAGTCCTCCCACCAGAGCTCCAGGCTGCTGCTCCCTGCAAGTTGTTGTCACTCGCAAACTTGCTGAGAGTGAATCCAGGCTGTTGAGGAGGATATAAACCCCAAGCAACACACCGAATAAACCCCACGGATCACCAGTTCTAAACTGACAATCATTTAGGCTTTGACACTACCCCTGGGCCCCAATGGACCAGGCAGTTTTTCACCCACACATCTTGAATTCTAATCAACATCATATGCCCCCCGTTTTAAAATCTCACTAGAGGTTGCATGGTGTTACTGACGATAATACCTTCATAATACTAATAATACACACATGATAGTAGACACGCAAAGTAAACAATTTCATGTGGCTTTTGGCACAGACACAAAGATGAAGATGATTGGAAAGAAAAAAAAAAAAAGAAAAAATGCACATCCAGAGTGGTKGGAAGGATGTGCAGAACAACTAACCCAGTAAAAGAATGGAGGTAACAGGAGAGTCAATGAGATAGTCCACACTGAAAGAACTGCACATCTTACATTTCATCAAGGAATATTTCAAAAGAAAATCTTTTTTCTAATTCTAGCAATCTTGTTCCAGCACAGACTTTTCCTGGCACATACGTTAGTCATTATCTGAATGACCGACAGGATTGATAATAATCACTGCACACCTTGCCTACTTCTCTCCCCGTGTTATGATTTTAACTGAGAGATAAAATAGCTTTTTTTTTTTTTGCTCAAATTCACATAGTTTTATTATCATAATAAATTTACCACATGGCTAGGTTTAAGAGAACGYTGCATTTTGAAATGAACTGAGAGAAACCGAAATGAACACAAAAAGAAATGAGAATAGTAGTAGATACGAAACCCTTTAAAAAAAAAAAAATAAGATCTCATTCACGGGTCCCTGAAACCTTCAACAGAGTAAATATATCTTACATAAAGGGAGGATAAACCCATGTATATACCAACTATGTAGTCTATGGTATATAGAYCTATATAGTCTATGATAACTATGCACTATATACCATAAAAAATTCCTTAGTAGAAGAGTTTATAAAAAGAATTTCAATGTAAATTTAAAGCTTATAGTATCTCTTTAAGTTACACTAGTGCTATCCTTTTACTATGAGAAAAGATAATTCAGCTGAGTACATGTAAAGCAGATACAATTTATCTGCAAGTGTTTCAGGGACCTCTTTAAAAAAAAATACATATATACATATATATTTTTTTTCCCCCAAAAGGCCTCATCACTGGCATCCAAGATAGCTGCCTGGTGTCATTTGTCATTTTGGCACTTCTCTCCTCCCCCAGATCTCTGCTTTGTCATTTGACAATCCCATGAAGGTCACGATATTGAGTAATAATGGTTACACAGGTCAAGAAGATATGCTGGTCCCCTGCATCATGAAGGCCAACGGTACATGGGAGAAGTGCTAGGAAAAGAGCAAGAGCAAAGGAAGAAAATCTTATTTTTAGGGGGAAAAAAAAAAAAAGAGAAAGCACATTTGAGAGCCTTTTCTGTGTAGCTATTTGCTCAGTTTCGTTTCCACTTCGTGCAATCGAGCACCAGTGGAAACTGCGACCCGGATCCAAGGCAGCCCGCCCGGACTCAGCGCCCGGCGCGGGGACGGGGCACGCAGGCTGCACAGCACGCGCGACCCGCGGCACGGTTACACGCGGCAACGGGCGGGAGGCCGCC